ACATCATCAACCCCGACGGGAACATTAGATGCGACGACTGCACGAGTGAAGGTTTCAAGACTCTTGAAGCTGTCATAGGTGCTGCTGAACTACCAAAGACGACGACTGCGGCACCTCGACATGCCATTTTAAAGGTGACTCCGTCGGAAGACTTCTCCCAACCGAAGAGTACCGGGCGATGTACTGCGTGCGAGATCTCGACACTCATTCACCCAGGACAGCCCGTCAACTGTACTTCGTGCACCCCAAACACGGGCTTGTTATCTCCACCTCCATTAGACCAGCCATCAAAAGTCAAACGTTCTTGCGCCCGACGGCCACCCACCAAGCTCGAGTCGCATGCGACGCGATGTCTACAAGGATGGCTGAGAGAACACCGAAACAATCCGTATCCGGACACCGAGACCAAGCGTTCACTAGCCGAAACATGTGGTATCACTGAGAAGCAGGTCAACACCTGGTTTACTAATGCGCGGGCGCGAAAAAGGGTCGTTGATGCGAAATCATCTAACCCGGCATCGGAAGATGAAGGGGCTCGGAATACTCGATTTTCTAGCGTAATATCCACGGCGCTGTCGCACCGAGACGCCTCATCACGCTTCGAGACACCGTTTGATAGTCGGTATTCTGTCGCCTCTCATTGCGCAGGTAATGACCCTAGCCATACGAATACAACCTCATCTAGACGAGGCAAGAAGAAGGATTATGGCCAGTCTGTCAACGTACCTACTTCGGTCTCCAAAGCGCAATCGCTTCTGGTCAAACCGCAACTTCCATCTGCCGATGATGTCGATAGCGAAACACAGACGTGGCAGTGCACCTTTTGCTACCAACATATCGCGCGCAAATCCTGGCGCCGACATGAGGAAACCCAACACCGACCGAAACGAAAGTGGACATGTTTGCTCACCGGCCCTAGCCTCACCATATCGTCTAGGTCAGATGCGTCTACGTCTTGTGTGTTCTGCATGGCAACGAACCCCAGCGACAAGCACTTCGCCGAATGCCACCGCATAACTGAGTGCATGGTCAAGAACGAAAGCGAAAGAACGTTCCTGCGCCCCGATCACCTGCGACAGCACGTCAAGAACTTCCACAAAGCGAAGTTAGACGAAACCATCCGCGATCTTTGGAGACGAGAAGGCCCAGATCGCCATGCCGTGGAGAACTGGGTTTGTGGTTTCTGCGCAAACGTGCTGAAGACTTGGGACGATCGTGAGACGCACATAGCATGCCACTTCAAAGATGGGTTAACAATGGCGGACTGGAAAGGGTATACAAGACTGGATGCTGAGGCGAGTAAGAAGAGGCCGACTTCGAGCGAAGGACGCCCGAATGTGCTCTCGAAGTTGGCACGGACGCTTACTTTCCGATCATCGCGTGAGCAGCACCACTTTGAGTCGCAAAGTCAGGCAGCCGATGCTTTCGATACTGCACTGGCATTCACCCACGCGCCTGAGTTAGGTGCACCTCTGCTGCCGGAACTTGTCTTCGACGACTTCATGGCGGGCGTTGGTGACGGCGATCTCAATTACAGCGATACGATTCTTGCTGGCGCGTATGAAAACGACTTTGCTTCTGCTGCACGGCACGATTCCGCATTTCCAGACGAAGAAAATCCGGGGTTTGACTTTAGCGATTTGGCGGACGGATTCGTCAACCAGGAGTTTGGGAATGGGGATGCATTTGGGTTGTGGTATCAATAGGCGGTACCCCGGCTTGCGATGCTTAGAGCGCGAGAACAGGGTTGAAGCTCGGGTGTCTGTTCTACCTACCCGGAGCGCAATAGAGACAGTAAATATCTTACAAACACGGCGACATTTATCTGCAAGCGAGATGCGCATATGGGAGAATTAAGCCTGTGAAGCGTGGAGCCACTGCAGCCACCTTTCCATATCCAACCATGACGTAGCGTCGAGCTTTTTCGGCCTAGCCAGATTCAGCAAAGTTCAATCTAGCTGGAGCCGTATCAATCATCCGCACCACCCACGACATCCTCCATCATTAGAGTCAAGAATGCATCATCGCGTCGCGTTCCGCCGAAACACAACTATTGCGACGTGACTGTCCGCGTTTGAGTCACGAAAGATTGTCGTAATCACCTCTGCACAGATCTCCAGTCCTGTACCGGATGCTGTGCTACACTCGTCGACTTCTCTCCAATCGGCAAATCGACGTTGCAAGCTACTCGGGAGATGTATACGATTTTACCAACGGCTACTTTCGTGTTGCCTGCTAAGCGACGATGATATCGATGAGTCAGTCCCTAAAGAACATGGTTCAGGGTCTATTAGCGCCCTGACCCCTTGCGCAATGTTGGCACGGCCTGTGGTTCGTTCCCATACTTGAACCGATGAGTCTTCCTAGCATACGAAATGAGGGAATAGCGTGACTAGAAGTAGGCGCAGAAAACGTAAGAGGGTACTTATAACAGCAGTGTCTCATTCTAGTCACAGCCTCCATGGCTTCTACAACACCAACACCGATGACGACCTCAGTTGTCGTGCCAAAGCGCTATTCCACGCAGCTCCAATCACCACTCTATCGTCTACCTCGCGAACTCCGGGATCAAATCTATGAGTACTACCTGTCCGAGGAAGATGGATATCACTACGATAGTGCGGTCAAGAAGTTCCTTTATCAGAATCCTTCGACAACGCCCAAACCACTGGTGGTACGACTCGGTCTCCGAATAGCGTGTCGCATCGCCAGTGAGGAGATGAGGAGCGTTGCTCTTCCTCAGCTCAACTTCCATGGAGCGCAGTCAATGGAAGACGAAACCGGATACCAAGGACTCCATTCGCGGGCGGGCCGCTTCGAGTGCTGTAGGTACCACATCAACTAATCTCCCATTTTGAGCACTTACATTGCCTTAGTATTGACTTACGTCGAGCGCCAGAGATGTCGCATGCTCGTGCGTGTCGCGCCACTTTTGAAACATGGAGACTTTCTGGAGTTATGCACTCGCTATCCAACTGTCAAGACGTGGTTCAACGAACCTTTGCAGAGATCGATCGCGAACCAAAGGGATGAATTGGGCGGCCAAGACATCCTTGATCAGAACTTTAGCGACGCCCTCCATCGTGCGTTGATTCTTGCAAAGACTCAATCCGCCTCAGAATTCGTGGACTTGGCCCGTATCACGTTCGGCGCAGGTGCTTGCCCTGTTCCTTACACCGCACTGGGTCTGGAACGCCACAATCTTTTCGTTGAGAGTGCTCTGCCCGAGATACTCCGTTGGCAGCCCGAACCGTGGTGCATTCCGGGGGATCACGAGCTATCTAGAATTGAGGCTCTAATTTGTCAACCCAGAGACTCGGATGTTGAGCTGCACATAACCAAGGATGGAGCTCGATACTTTCAGGACATTACAGCTCACCTATCGGCCAGGCGTCAGCGGTGGTACTTTTCAGCTGCGGCTGTAGCAGTCGACTTCTGTAAGCCTATCTGAACCTTTATGCAACCACCATATGCTAACAAAGGCAGTACGACGTTCGTCGAAACGACAACGAGAGAACATGCGCACAATTGTTCTCAATGAAGATTTCAGAGCTGTATCCCGTCCAGAGTCTCATGGTCGCAGTTTCATCCCCTACTGTCTCGAATGTCCCAAGCTTCGCATCGTCAGGCGAATAGGTATCATGAACAACCTACTACCAGCTTGTTCCTACCAACTAGCAAATCCTTATGACGGATTCATCTTGCCCAGCGATTTGCTTACTGTGTTGGTTTCTTGGATCGAAGAAGCCACTTCACTAGCTTCTCACGGGATGCCAGCACATTCCTTCCAGCTGGTCATCGACGGACATAGCGAGGAATCAATGGTGGGCTGGAATCTGTTAAAATACGCAGCAGCTACTCAAGAGGCTCTGCTTAGGCAGTGTCGAGCAAATGGCAAACAGCCGAGAGCAAGACCTGCACCAATAGATTACGACTGTGCTTTCACTGGACCATGGAGCCTTCCTGCAGGGTTTGCACAGATGATTCGAGACATCGCCGATGGAAAGTCTACAGTCCAATATGACGGGGATGTTGGTGAGCTCTGGGACCCAGAAGAATTCTATTTGGGGCGGGAAGCTTGGACTGAATTAGAATGGGAAGTAGAATGGGAAGGGCAAATGACACGATTCATCCCAACGAAGGGGTGGCCGTCAATATCCAGGAAGTACTGCCATGAGTCCCAAGACTGAGTAAACTTGCATACGCTGCAGTCAGGCTCCACATCATTAGTTTCTGAGGTGCCTTACGTAGCTCGGAAAAGAGTAAACTCAAAATTACATGTCCGCACTCTAAACTATCAGTGTTGGATTTCCTTTGTAACGCGGTGCCGCACGCGAATGCAATTTGTTCGGTAGGGTGATTGGAATTCTTTGCCCCCAATGCAATCTTCTTCCGAGCGTTCAATCAACGAGCGCGCGAAGCCTAGAGCTCTGCACCTCCTTATCGCGAGGCATGGCCGGTTGGCGCCAGGCTGATGGCATGCGATAGATGACTGCGTGCTCCGCCCACGCAACGCACCGTTGCGACCGACTGGTCTTGACCCGCGATGCTGAAGGGCGCAGGGTATGGTTGACTCCCCGAGCACAAATGTGTGGACTGCGTTTCGTCTTCGTCGACGTTCAAGGGCGAGTTCGGGCGGCGGCGGCCATACTGGGACATTGGTCATCCGACAGGCGCTTGATGTGTTGTCGTTGCGCAATATTCCCAGAGAGATCGAGTCATAGCGTACCGTCCAAATCAGTAGGTTCTCTAGTCATCTAAGACGAACCATACATCACTCATGGAGCCACGTGATACCCTGACTCCGATCAAATCAACAGCGTGCTTCCAAGGCTGCGACTCATCCTAATCAAGACTGTGTGAGTCAAGATGTGAGAATAGTCAACCCGAGAGTCATTATCTCACAGTTGTAAGTATATAGATAGCAGCATCCGCACTTACTTGCATTTCATGGGCATGTCGAACAACACGCCGACTACACGCTTCGCACACTGGAACAAATGGCCATTCATGAACGTAAGATCGAATCAACTACAATCGCCATTCTTCCAATTATCACGCGAGATTCGAGACAAGATCTACGATTACTACATCGTCGCCGAGAATGGCTACTTCTACAACCCGGAAACCCGGAAAATGATGGACCACCACCCTTCGTCCGTGTCGCCAAAACCACAAGTTATCAACACCAACTTGATAAAGACTTGCAAGATCGCGGCCGCTGAGATGAAAGGTTTGGCTCTCGAACGTAATGAGGTCATCTTTCATGCTATGTGCTCCGTGAACGATGGAGATGGGTGTCTGGATCTCAACTCACGGGCTGGACGCTTCAAAAGCCGTACGTATATCCCAGGCGTCACGATTTTCCTATCAAGTGTAGGATTTGAGACTGACTTTGCAACCACAGTTCTCAAGTGTCGCCAGATCCAAAGAATCCGTATGCTTGTCTGTACCGCTTCATTACTGACGACGGATGACTACACGAGACTCGCTCAAGAATACCCAGACTTTGCGTTTTGGTTTGATGGCCCCTTGCGCAGGGCTATCAGAGGACGCACAGATGGATTGAACATGGACAGTACGAACGACTGTATCGACTCTTTGTTCAGCAGTGGAGACTTTGATAGAGCTCTTCAACTTGCACTTGAACTCGCCAAGGCTCGAAATCCTCTTACATTCGCAAGACTTGCTGTGAAGACCTTCGGAGACGAGTACCCCGAGCGTCTTCGTGTCTCATATGAGCCTAGACGTGGTAATCTCTTCTCTGAGGGATCTTTGTGCACGCTCTTTGAATGGAAGCCTGAGCCGTGGCGTATACCGAGCCATGAGGAACTTACTTCAATCGAAGCGCTATTGTCGATGAAAGCTGTACGAGGCATGGAAACATTCTATTCCGCACACAATACCAAATGGTACTTCTCCGCTACATCAGTAGCTATCCAATACTGTAAGTTTCATATCGGATGCAGTCGAATGTCTCTGACACCGCACAGTGGAAACGCTGAACCCCAAGGTGCGCATGGTATTGCGCAACATCGTAATAAGAGAAGACTTCAAAAGCGTTTCCAATCCAGAACTCCACGCTCGAGGTCTTATTCCATTCTGCCGCGAGAACGCAAACCTTCGGATTACTCAACACGTCAGTCTTTTCGAATCAATGCTTCCGTCATCTTCGGGTGGGCAAGATAACCGGCGAAGCTTTTACTACGACCGTGATTCTGTCTGGGGCCCAGAATGTCTGGAAGCCATGATAAACTTGATCCAAGTAGCGTTTTCACTCCAGACACTTGGTATGCCGAACGAAAGCTTCTCACTGGTCTTCGACAATAGTGTGACAGAAGGCGACTGGGTGTGGAACACAATTGTCATGCGCACAGCAGCCTTACAAGAAGTTTTTACCAGATGGCTTCGCGCACGCAGTATTATCCTCAGAACCAACGAGGGGAGAGAGCCCGGGGGTTATGGAAGGCTGTGGGACGTCCCATCGACCTTTGCCGCCAACGTTCGGAGTATCGCAGAAGGGAACGCAATCATGCAGCTGACTTCGCGTATGAGCTCAGTTGAGATCAAGGCCACTGATCTAGACCTGAACAGCCGCATGCACTACACGTTCGGGGACTGGGACGATGAGTGGAACGCGGGGGTGGGGTATCTAGAATGGAATACGGATTTCTGGAGACGTTTACACCCAAGATACAGCATCGAACCGGCGGGCTTCAAGAGAGTAGTAACAACGGTTAGGAGACCTGTGGGTGGGCCCTGAGTTCCGCGACATCGACGGAATCGGTTGGACAAGAAGTATTGTTTCTGGTAACAGATCGGTGGACTGATGATGCCATCAAATCTAGTGATACGGTGTCTTCATCGGCAAATGTGCATCCTGACAGAGCTTATAGCTGGCTGTTATGTATCAATAACATCGATGTGAAGATGATGATGTGCAATGCCTTTAGATCGTGCACTTCTTCACAAAGAGCAAGAAGCCTGTGATGCAAACCATCAGCAGGACAGCTGTACTATAAGCCGCTTTGCCCCATTCATAATGTATAGGTCTGCCTCCCTCTCCGTCAAGGGCGCGTCGTGCCGTGAGCCCGGGTTGATGGTATGCTATGAAAGCCTGGGTACGCCGTAATCGGGTTGCGCGTCTTCGACCGGCTGTGCGTAGGCCGTAATGCTGAAGGGCGAGGGATGTGGATGGCGTGCGGAGCTCATTATGCGTGGACAGCGTTCTCGTCTTCGTCGCGGTTCAAGGGTGAGTTCGGGCGAAAGCCATCGCTGAGATTGCGCGCGGTCGGCAAGAACGCTGGCAACGCGCGTATCTGAGGTTTCGAAGGGTCTACCTAAGGACGTTTGCGAAATCAGACTCGACAAGCGAGTGAGGTCATATTCTGAGATGGCAGAGTGAGCCGCGATATTCGTCTGGGTGGTGGAGTTCCGTGCTCCTGAAGACCTCGGGAGGCTGGGCACCACCTGGGCAGGCTCGCGCCAACTGTTCCGCGCCAGACCGACCATCTGTTCCTTCGCGTCGCGTAGAACCAGTACCACCCACAATTACAGCTCTGCTCTTGATGGACATGTCACTCACACTACTCACTCAATCCTGCAGTTATCGATGAGTCGTTGCACTGAGGCTGAATGGTGCCCAGGTTGTCAGCCAATGAATCCCGAGGTCCGCTTACGGCCAGCAAGCCACAGTTTGGTACCATGGTGCATCCTTCTTGGGAGTCATCTGCAAAAGGCCAGAGGAACTATGACGAAAATTGCGCCGTCGTAATATAAGATGCCAGATCGTCGCAATCGACATCGATATGGCACCCAATACACTCAAGATGGCTTTCAACAAGAGAGGCTCCAACAACTTTGCGCACTGGAATATGTTCCCCTTCATGACGACACAGAAGACGAAGTACTTTCTCGGGCAAACGCAATCGCCATTCTTTCGACTTCCGCGGGAGATACGGAATACTATCTACGAACATTATGCTCAGGGTCGACCACAGTATGTGTACGATAGGGACACGGCAAGATTGCGATACTCCGATACTTCAGCTCAGACGGAGGGCCTCGGTCTCATGATGACCTGCAAGATTGCTGCAGACGAGATGCAGCACGTCGCTTTCCAGAATGTCGAGTTCACTACGCTTTGCTCCTTGGATGATGGCGCAGTCTTCCAACAACTCCGATCCAGAGTCGCTCGATTTTGCCAGCGTAAGTGCAGAGTACCGTTGAATGGATGTGAGATTAGACTAATATATTTGTTAGTATTCGACATGGTTCAGGTTCAGAGCCAATACATGTTGATCTGTGTCGCGGAACTACTCGAGGCGTCAGATCTTACTGAGATAAGAGCTCGTTATCCAGCCATCGAAGACTGTTTCGAAGGACCTCTGAAGCAAGCAGTCGCACAAAACATCAATAAACTCTCCCGATACATGAACATTGGTTTGGACAATCACACATCTCAAGATTTCATAGAAGCTCTCGTGCTTGCGCCCGACATGGCGAAGAGTCGAGATTCGACCAAGTTTGCGCGGCTCACACGAGGAATATTTGGAAACATCATCTGCCCTGTGAGCAACCTTCGAGGTATGGGCCAGTACAATATCTTCGTGGAAGGGGCGTTGCACGATGTACTTTGTTGGAGACCATCCCCTTGGGCGATTCCCACGGATAGCGAGCTTGCCAGGATGGAGGGGCTTGTTTGCCGGCCAGAAGAAAACAACGAGCTGATTTACAACTGGTGCCACGTGGAGGACCCCCGCCGACTATGCAACAGTAAATACTACTTCTCTGCTGCAGCAGTAGCGATCGACTTTTGTAAGTACTGTCCTCTATCACAGCGCTTGTTGTTGTAATACAAATATCTTTACATGGAACGAACTTTCTAACGCGAGGCGCAGTGCATCGAATTCCCCCCAAGAGGCTGCGCAATCTGCGTAAACTCGTCCTCCATGAAGACTTCAAGTCGATGCCGCGTTCTGTATGCCATGTACGAGGTCTCATTCCCATATGCCAGGCGAATTCACAGCTCCGGATCGAGAGGCATATCGATCTACTGGCCAACCTTCTACCCTTGGGTCATCCATACAACTTCCATGCCGGATATGACTGGATTGGTGGATCCGAAGTTTTAGATGCTATTATTCCATGGCTAACAGAAGTTCACCTTCTTCATGCTCGTGGAATGCCTAAGAGCTCTTTCCGACTCGTTGTAGACGGTGCGTCACCGGAATCCCACCAAGCGTGGGGCATCATCAAGCATGCAGCAGCCATGCAAGAAGCCATGCTGGAGCAATGTCGAGTACACGGCACGCGCCCGACGTCCAGACTTTTCGACCGCCGCTTTGTAGGCCGTATTCCTTTACCTTGGCATCTACCGGAAGGGTTCTACCAGATGGTTCGCGACGTCATTGACGGCACTAACAATATTTCCTTTATTGGAGAGGTGGGAGAACAGTGGGATCAAGAGGCATTCTTCCTCTCAAGAAAGGATTGGACGCTAGATCAATGGGCAGAAGAGTGGAAGCTTGAGGTTCGTCATAAAAGTATCCCAACGAGTTTCTGGAAACGAAACAACGCTCGATACCAGATAGACCCTCAAGGTTTCGGTCATGTTCACCGGACAGTCTAAAACGGTGAGATCATTCGCAGCAGCGACCGACCGTTGTAACGGTACTCGCGAACCTGGGCAGCGTTGGACGGCGGACAGTGGATTACAAATGTAGCTTGACGTAGCTCGCGTGGGCGACTACAACGATTACTACAGGCTCTGACAGGGAAGCCAATGAATACATCCTAATTCATGCGAGCTTCTCATAACAACTTTCGCGTGCATATGACGAATATGCTGTCTCGTTCTTGGGGTAGCGCGTCACGCCCGTCTCGCTTGCATGGTGCGCAAGCATCTAGCCAGGAACCAAAGATCTGCCCCTCCAAAAACATCACTAACTTTCTGCCACACCGTCGCATCACCCACGTCTCCTACATCCACTGCAGTCGCTCCTTCTTCCTCGTACCTCCATCCAATGACCGCGCCCACGCATCTCGATCCCAGCGAACTGGGCACCAAATCCTACTGGGACGCCGCCTACAACACCGAACGCCAAAACTTTGCCGCAAACGCTGACGACGAAGGAACAATATGGTTCAGCGACGCGGGCGCTGAGGAGCGCATGTTGTCTTTTCTTGAAGACCTCAGCGACGAGGGACATATACACAAGGAGGACGATGGGGACGACCACAACGCGGCGCGGTTCCTGGACCTGGGAACAGGCAATGGGCATTTGCTGTTTGCGCTGCGCGAGGACGAGTGGAACGGCGAGATGGTCGGCGTCGATTACTCTGCGCAGAGCGTCACGCTTGCCACGTCGATTCGCGACGCGAAGGATGACTCTTATGAGGACATCGCGTTCCACGAGTGGGACATTTTGTCGCAGGCACCAGGCGCGTGGCTAGGCGCTGGCTTCGATGTCGTACTGGACAAGGGCACATTCGACGCTATCTGCTTGTCGCAAGAAGAAGACGCGCAAGGTCGCAGGACCTGCGAAGGATACAGGGAAAAGGTTGAGCCTCTCATGAAGAAGGGCGGCAGATTCCTCATCACGAGCTGCAATTGGACCGAAGAAGAGCTCAAGGGCTGGTTTGGAGGCGGAGAGCTGGAGTTTGAGGGCAAGGTCAAATATCCCAGCTTCACGTTTGGAGGCAAGACGGGCAGCAGTGTGGTTACACTGTGCTTCAAGAGGGTGTGATTCAGCGCTTCGTCTGCTGAGAGAAGGAACTACTACGACTACGCTATCGAACAGCCCGCCGTATCCGCGCGAGAACGAGCCATTTCTTCCGCTCGCCCATGTTCTCCGTACCGCCGTCGCGCTCTTTCGCCCATGACCGCCGCTGGCCGTTGACGTCCATCTCGTATATCTCCTCGACCTCGAGCCCTTGCTCCGGTATCACCTCCTCGAAAAATGGTGCAACTTTGGCACGTCCCGTGTGGAAGCCTGCGATACAATATATGCGTGCGGAGGGGTCGTCGGATAGGAAGTGTAGCATCGATTTGGCAAGGCTTTCGTGCTCCCATGGCATCCAGAGACAATCTGCTGCGAGAATGCGCGTGTAGCGGTTCGCGTGCGAGGTCTCGAAGGGTGTGCTTATAGAGCCCCATTGATGACCTTCGACGGTCACATTGGGCTTGAGATGCGCGGGGACGTTTTTCACGACGTTCGTTTTGAGGGTATCGAGGATAGGAGCGGCAGGATAGTCGGTGATGGCAACCTAGCGGATTGTCAGTTGGAGCCTATGCAGACTCCGAGTCTGAGCATGGACGTACCTCTTTCGCGCCCGCCAATGTACTCAGAATCCCGCCCAATCCTACGCCTACGAGCAAATAGTCCATCAGTACTCTCTTCAACACCTCTCTTTACTCAGCCCGACCCACCTGCACCCAACTCCAACACCGTCTCGCCCTCCACGCTCCATTTTTGCTCTTCTTCCTTGTCTGTCCACCATTTGCCGTCTCTCCAGCCCTCTTCATCTTCGTGTAGACCCTTCCCACTGGCGCCTAGATCGCCACCCTCCACTCGCCCGCTGACCAGTTCTGCCATCATGACGCCGGCATTCCATAGGTAGTGCGCAAACTTTCTTCTTTCTTCTTCGCCGTTTACATCCGCGACCCTGATCTCCTGCTCGCCAAACTTGGCGTTGCGGTACAGAATAACCGTGCTCGGGTCATCCCCATGCTGGTTCTGTGTATCATCGGTGAAGATGCCGCCGAGGGAGGACCCAAAGATGTCTTCAGGCTCGAGTGGCGTGTTGGCTGGGCGGCGGAGGTTGATCAGCGAAGGAAGTAGCATTGCGGAGGTCGGTGTACGGCGGTTTGGTCGGGCGGAGGCTAGGATCCTTCCTTAGACGGGCTGAAGGATTGTCGCACGACGCCATGATGCGCAATGGAGGGGCTCGCGAAATCTTTAGCGGGGCAGACGCGCGAGGCTGTAGATGGGATAGCGCACGGGTAGCATGCAGGGTCACCGCATGGCTCCGACATGTCGTGAGATCATCATTTGCCGAGGCTGCTGCTCGTGGCGCTCTGAAACGCCTACTTACCTCCGCTCTCCTGCTCTCATTCTCACAGACAACGTGATTGACTGACAAACCACAATCGTCAACATGTCATTCTCCTCATTCAAGAATCCGGCGACATATCATCTGCTCAGGTACGAAGCTACATTACCAGCACTTGACGTTCAAGATCCTCTAACACAAGCACAGCTATGGCACCCTCCTGGGCTCAACGCTCTTCCAGTCCTTCGTCTCAGGCATCGTAGCCTTCCGCGTCCTCCCTCGTCCCCAATTCTCCACGCTCCAGAAGCACACCTTCCCCGTCTACTTCACACTACAAACCCTCACACCCGTCGTAATGCTGCTCACGTACCCACGCGGCGGAGCATCATCGTTGCTACCATTCCTCTCTTCCTCGCCCATCCCGCCGACGGCAACCGATAACCTGAGTTCCTGGCTACACACCACAATGTTTCTCACGGCGCTGGTCAACTGGGTCTACGTTGGACCCAAGACAACAGAGGTCATGGGTCTGAGGAAGCATCAGGAGACGAGGGATGGGAAGAAGAGCTATGATGCTGGACCACATAGCAAGGAGATGCAGGCATTGAACAAGCAGTTCGGCATTCTGCACGGTATTAGCAGTCTGGTCAACATGGTGGGCTTGGGGGCTATGATCTGGTACGGTGCAGTGCTGGCTGACGGGCTGAGCTTGTAGAATTCCGAGGATGCTGTACATACTGGACGGAATGGCCTGTGGACGAGACAACGATGTAAATAAGAAGCATGTGCTGCCTATACGTGAAGAGGAGGATGGTGAAGAAATCGAGAAAGTACTAGCTACCCCGATACTCAGGCATACGATGGTGCAATCGCATCATTGAATAATGAGCATACGGCGCGTCTAGTTCATCATACCACAAACGCCAATGTTTTGACACCAGCAGCTATATACTCACCCTCTCTCTGTACGACCCCATGTCCTTACTTTACGGTCGTCTATCTCAGACGCTGCGTCATGGCGATCACATTCCTAGAACTGAGCTCAGCCAAACCCTCAAACTTCAACAACGACGCCCATACGAGAGTCTGCAAGGACAACACAAATGATGGCCTGGAAACAGTACAATACCGACAACTCATCTCTAGAGCCGTAACGCAGCGTCTGCATTCGCCATCCCTCGATGACCTCACTAAGACCAAGGCGGGCGTCGCACCTGTACAGTCCTTAGAAGAATGGGAGCTACAAGAGCGCTGTATCGCACGGAGTAAAGCTCGGATCGAGGTCGAAGAGCTGGGTATCTCATGGAGTAAGACCGCCCGTCTTCTTGCGTGCACCCGTCGACCTCATCCGATATGCATTACAAGGTCTGACAGCTAATAGCACGATTCGTCCGCGATGTCGAAAGCGCCGCTCTGCAAGTCCACGTCCTCACCCCAACTCGGTACGAAGTACCGCCGAGAAATATAAACAAGAACCAAGAGGCGACTAAACAGAACGAGGAGATGAAATACACGTTTGGCGACTCCAATGATGCAGCGCGTGATAAAGAGTGGAAGACAAAAGACGCTGCTGTATACAACATGTTGAAAGCTTTTCGGGGCGCGCGGTCGGGTCGCTGAGTATGACCGCCCAGCTTCGCTTGATCGGTATGTTGTCGTAAGGGTGGAAACGCGACACAGTCCTCTGCCTACCGTGATGGCACTCTAATGCTGATAGTACATTTTGGATTGCTGTTTTTCGTCAAGATGCGCGGTGTGTCCATTCGCCAAGTGGAGGTGCATGGTGGTTGGCCATCATGGTTCGCGGGTAATTGGTGTCTTATATTAAGCTTAAACGATCAAGGTGTTCCAAACACCGCTTGTTCATCCTTCAGTTTTAAGCTCTTCAAGTCGGAAGTGTTAACAAACATGGTGTATCCAGCGGCGAGGATCTTGAGGTCTCTAACCATTACATTAGCTTCTACAGGACTGGTGATCAGCAACCCCATTTCGAGTCCGAGCACATCACCAGAGACTAGGCAAGTCAGTCGCACCAAACCATTGCTACAGGACTTCGACGCTCTTGGAGCATGGTTTGACGGTGTCGCGGCGATTAACACCACCACGTCCGCTTCCTCATCTAAGAAGAACGCGACTATCGCGATAGTCGGCGCTGGCATCTCTGGTCTCGCTACAGCACTGATGCTTGACAGCGTAGGTGTGCACAACTGGGAGATCATCGAGGCAAGCGACCGGGTCGGAGGACGGTTCCGAACCAAGTACGTTGGTGGAACGCAAGAATGGGCGGAGATGGGTCCTATGCGCCTTCCTCACTCGATTACATACAAGGATGGAGAGACCATCGAATACAGCGACCATCAAATGGTATTCCAGTTGGCCGACATGCTCAATGAGATGAACGCAAACGATCCGCATTACAAAGTCGACTTCATCCCATGGGTTCAGCATCATCCAAATGAGATCCTCGGCCTGGGAACTGGCAGACTTCCAAATGGGCAACTTCCAACACGAGCGGAGATTCAAGCAAACTCGTCTCTTGGGCGACCAGCACCACTGGATACGCAGGAGTACACCGAAACCAAGCAGCGCATGAACGAGCTTCTGAAGTCAAAGGACAGACTCAAGGCCGTGCAACGCGACGTGTGGCGCGAACACAAGAAAGCCATGGATCAAGGTCTCGACGACTGGAGCGAGCAGGCCATGATGCGCCACGTCTTCGGTGCAAGCGAAAACGTCACAGACGCCATCTGGACAGCGAGCGACTACGACGTCTTCTGGGATGAGTTAGTGCACAACTCGAACCTTGCGCAAGATGGCGGACCGGATGCATTGGGCATGACTGAGTGGAAGTGTGTAGACGGCGGCTTTAACAGACTGTCCGATGCCTTCCTCCCACATGTCAGCGACCGTCTCACCCTGAACCGTAAGATCAGGAAACTGGAAGCTGTCGAAGATACCGAAGGTCACATACGCACAAGACTGTCGTGGTACCCCAGTGTCAGCAACCGAACGTACGAGTCGAAAGAGTACGACTACACAGTCATGGCAGTACCATTCACCATGACACGCTTCATGTCGCTTCCCAAATTCTCTTCCGTACTCGGTCGCGCAATCAGCGAAGCTGGCCTCCGTTTCAAATCCGCCTGCAAAGTCGCGCTACTCTTCAAAGAACGTTTCTGGGAGAAGGGTGATCGTCCCATCTTCGGCGGATACTCTACCCCACCCAGTGCAGCCGTCGGCGCTCTCTACTACCCCGTCTACGGCCTTAACGAGTCTCGCCCAGGCTTGATCCTGCATTACCGGGGTGGCCACTGGAGTGACGAGTTCACGAGCTTCTCAGACGAAGAGTATGTTCAGACTGTGTTGGATGCTGTTGTCAGTGTGCATGGCGAGCAAGCGAGAGAGCTGTACACGGGCGACTACGAGAAGTTGTGTTGGCTGCAGGACGAGCATACGGGGACTGCTTGGTGCCGTCCGGATGTGATGCAGCATAAGTTGTATATCCCGGCATACCATCAGACGGAGCACAACACCATCTTCATTGGAGAGCACACTGCGCCAACGCATGCTTGGGTCAGTTCGTCGCTACATTCGGCTGTGAGGGGTTCTGTGCAGCTGTTGCTTGAGTTGGGTTTGGTGGATGAGGCGAAGCGGGTCAATGAGGAGTGGATGGGCAGGTGGATTCAGCGTACAATCACGTAGGAAGTGAATAATCTGGGCATCAATTTAAATATAGTGCAATATTGATCCCATGAAACAAGTTGGTGGTGGATGCAGATACACATAGGGAAAGGTGGGAGATACATGAGAAAGGGAGAGAGAGAGCTACCGGAGAACTGCCAAACATGTGCCCTATCTGAGCTCTGTGCTGCGACACTGGTTCTCTAAATAGTGAGCCAATAGCTAGCTGTATTCGGATCAAGAGTAGTCCAACAGTACGGCATGTCTCCGCACAGGCCGTTCTCCTCAAACCTTCTGTCTCTGATGACCGCACTAAAATTCTTCATCGCGAGTCGAAAACCCTGCTCCGCGTTCTGTACTTCTTTACCCATCTTGGCTAGCATGGTTGTATTGTCGAACATGTGCGATATCGTTTCCTCGCTGTCGACGAAAGTAGGCCGGTTGAAGTCTACGACTAAACTGATTTGGCCAATAGCAGCTTCGACTTGTGGCATGAAGGGCATGATGTCGGTGACACCTTTCGCAGTTGGCAATGGCGAGTAGAAAGCGAGGGGGTGAAAAGGAAGAACGCCAGTTGAGGCGGCGAGAGCGTTCGTGTTAAGCGTGCCGTGAACTACTGATACCAGGTGGGCCATATGGGTCAGGATGTCGATGAGAGTCTGCTTGTCCTGCAGTGTAGATGGAAAGTCCACTATCTGAGCTGGTACTGCTTCATGGATCCATGCTTGGAGCTCAATGTCATTTACAACTGCGCTTGCATCCTTGTAATACGAGTCCACCAAGGTGGTCATGAACCGGCGGATGGCAGCATGGATAACGGACGCATCCCGATAGAAAGGAAACGCTTTGATCTCGGGACCGAAGTTAGAGTCAATCAGACCTCGCTTTTTCAGATTGGTCTCGAAATAGTTCGCCTGGAAAGCGCTGGATTCGCCCGAATGATACAGTGAGTCGGTGTAGTTACCGGCTTGACTGCCGGACCATGGGAAGAGTTGATCGATGGGGCCACCGGGGTTTATCAGGCTGTCGCGGCCGATGACTCGGAACGCCCAAGCATCCTTCATTACTATATTACCGCTGTAAGTTTGGTGTCACAATCATCGAAGAGTGATTGATGCTTACATCGATGCAGTATGGCCATGATAGGATGCTCCTCACTCAACGTTCGGATAGCGCTCAGGTACACAATCTCACTCACCGCGTGCGTGGCCCCGAGATGATACCATTGCGCGTACCAGAAGCTGTTGAGATTGAACATCAACTTGGCCAGCAACCAATCGTTAGTTGAGTCGTGAGGGGTATAGACGAGATCAGAGCCTTCTACATTCGATTTGATGGCGAGCGGCAGGAAGTTTTGAGACTTGGGGTCGATATAAAAGTACGCTTGGCAGGCGGCCCCGTATTTGCCAGCAGACTGTGGCTGATACTTTTGGTCCAGATAATCGGCAAGAAAGAGACGGCCAGAGGTTTGGAGGGCTTCCAGTGTCTTCCCCGATATCGCGTCGGCGTTGGGGACGGAGAAAGGAAGTTTCGCGTCCTTTGACACCCGCACAATCTTGTACGGGTTATCAGAGAGCTGAGTCATTGAAAAGAGCAGGTCGTTTGTGTAATTAGTCAATAGTCCTGGGTATGGCCCTTTCGGCGCGCTTTCTTTCCACAGGCCGTTATACAGCTTCGCGTAGTCATCCAAAGTTTTCAAGCCGCCAGCCTGAGGTATGTTAGGCATGGATCTCTGGAACCCGTCTTTCAAATGTACTTACTGCCACAATCGATGCTTGAGCAGCTTTAGCATCCGCATCATTCTTGGTGCTCAATTCGTCAGAGAAAACCTCGAAGCGGTCCCCTTGCGCCTTCGCAACTGGTCCACCAATACTGCCAGCTGGATAAAATGCCGTGTTACCGGCGATTGAGGGACCGTATCTCCAGCCAGCTCGCTTTTCTGCAAGCGCAGATGCACGCGTACTGGAACTGGGACTGGTGCCAATCGAGAAAGGCGACAAGTCCTGGAGCCGAGGTGGGAGGACTGCTCCGTGAGCAGAACTACTGGCGCAGAGCAAGAGACAAAGTTGATAACGCATCTTTCACATGAAAAAAGATGAAGAGGAGTGTAGATCCGAGATGTATGAATGTGTTGGTTCTCGTTCCAAGTAGCTGAGTCGATGTCTTTATGCTGATCGAATAGGTCCGAAACTCAACGTATCGCAGTCATCAAAACCGCGAGAGTCGAGTTGGTCAAAGAAGCCGAGGACTCCGTCTCGTACAACCTGTCTGGCAAGTCTATGCATTGTGTCAGTGAGGTCACAGAGCTGAGGTGAGCACAATCTAGCCAGCCTTGCGCGGTTCCGACCTGAACCGTCTGACAACCGAAGCAATACCGCCCGCAAGCGCACAGCAAGCAATCCAGATAGTAGCTAAGTTTCGTTCGACTCTAATTACAAGCTCTGCTAAGGCAGGCTCATATGAGGATGATGCTGATGTTAAGTTAGTGCCGAGACGTCAATGAGATGCCTAGGTGGCATTAAACCACCACAGCACACTCCATCGGCTGATATCGGTTTTGGTTCATTTAGAGCCCAAGAAGTCAGATTAAAAGTCTCTCTGCCCAATGTGTGATTGATCATCGCAGAGCAATTTTGGAATTGTATGGGCTTCGTACGAGCCAACAAGTTTGTGACATCGCGACATCGATTGCCGAAGTAAACGGATTGCCAAGCGAGCCGACGGATTAGTTCGGTCCCGTGGCAAAAAGCGCTAATACAAAACAAGCATAGATCCGGAGCTCATGTGTCATCTCCCGAATTTGTGCCGAGCTCTAAACAGCACTCGGTAACAAACAAGCATACGTTATGAAGATCCATGTATATCAGACGTGATCGATTCTATCTTCTTTCAACCTCAAATTTATCAATCTGGGATGGAATGCTCGCAGCGTAACGAAGCTGGTCTCGCCATACGACTAAGATCCGTTGGCACCCTGAACGTACGGTTTCTTGTAATTGTAAGGAGGAGCCATGTTCGAGTACCAAGGATCATAAGTCAACAGTACAAAGCCAGGATCAGCAGCTGCAATGTTTGAAGGCCAACAGCTGTTCTGGTCCAAACCTTCGTTGGGTGGGGCAGCGGCATGGCCCCATGCAGCAATCGTAAACTCAGGGCGCTGAGTGACGGTCACGTGTACATCAGTGTACTGATACCCCTTCTTCATCGCGTATACCTTGTTGGGGGCAGCGTTGGCTTTTGCCGCGAATTCGGAGTTCGTCAGATCTTCAAGCGGAGGCTTGAAGCATGCACCCTTCCACATCCTGCCAGCGCGTCTGTTCTCATCGGCTGGCAAAACGCGTACCATCTGGCCTTGAGCATCGACGCCGGCTTTCAAAAAGGCGGGATGGTTTCTGTGCAATAGATAGGCGGGTGGGTACTCATCTCGATCGCAATCGTCCGGCTTTACCCATCCCCGACCATTATGCTGGTAGGTCCAGACATCGGTGGCTTTCGCGTCGAGCCGGTGCTTGATAGTAGCGTTTTCCTCATCGCAGGTCAGAGTCGACCATGACGGATGATTTCGAATGACTGAGCTGTAATGGTAACAAGCTTGTGAATTCTCTTGCGAACAAGTCGCTTTGAATTGCACTGGCACCGCATTTGGCGCAAAAGCGAGCGAGGTAATGACCATGTTCTCTTTTCTTGTTGAACCGTTGACGCAGGACTGCTTGCGAAGTGTGTTGGAGGCCTCGCCGAGACGAAGTGTTGATTTCCCTGCGGGTACTCTGCATTTCTTTGCTGGCTTAGTAACGCCATTACCGCTGCCACCTCCACCTGGTCGACGGGGCCTTGAGCTATCGATTGGGTTACCGTCGTCACCCTTTTTGCGACTGTGACGTTTCATGCGCTTTGGCGGCTTGAAGCTCGATACACCGTTGGCTATGGTGCTCAAGATTTCGAAAGCTTTCTTGATATCTTGCGGCACCAGGTCCGTACCCCCGCATGGACTCAGCCACCATGAGAATGCGCCCTCGGGGTCTTCTTCTTCGGGATACAGATACGCAGCCATCTGTGCGGCTGTTGTAGCCATATCTGTGAGATTGAGTTAGTATTGGTGTGACGTGTGAGACGCAGTAAGACGCTAAGCAAATGAGCCGACTTACCCAGACCAATATCGAGAATCTTGCCCACTACGGGTATGAATTGAACTCCGACGTCGATTACGAGTTTGATACTTGACATGAGCACATAGCAACTAATCTAGATAATCGTCAGATGGCAAAACGTTTCCTAACCGCGATTAACGGGTATTGGATAGCATACCTGAGCGATCAAGGGCATTGCTTCCAGAACAGTGTCTGCCAGTTCGTTGAGGAGGAAGTTGTCGCACAAACATTTCCCAGGCGCAATCAACTGACTACCCGCTCCCGGTCCTCTCTCCCAAGGAATACTGGTTTCCATAGGGTAGAATCCGATACACCCGTAATTAGATGTTCTCCCCTCCTCTGCCGCCTCATCTAGTGCGTCCTGACAAATGGGTTTGCACTGAGTCTTGCTCACTTCGTTGTATGCTGGGTCCCTGTATATGATGCATGTCTGATCATTGGCGAGTTTCGCTGCGGTTTTGTTGTAATAGTTGGGATCTTCGCCGTTGCCAAAGTCCTCCCCAAATCCGTGTGGTCCACTTTCATCGGGCCCATCGATAGGAGTGGTACATATCTCCTCGGGGCAATAGTTGTATTTGCAAGCAAACATGCAAAGTCGGTTTAGTTCCACATTGAACTCGTCCCAAGCTACGATGTTGAGTCCAGTCTTCTCGGTTGGCAGATCTAGAAGCTTTCCAGTTGTGTAGCATATGCATACACGCTCAGGACAAAATCCATAGAGACAGGTGAAGTCGCAAAGGTCCCCTGACTCTAAAGTGATACCTTCCCCGGAGGTACAGCCTTGACCACTCTCGGGTCGTGGAGGTAGAATGCTCATTTCCTGCGCAGTGAACTCCTGGAGATCAACGGCCCAGTCAACAGTCCCAGCAAAGTTGAATGACTTCCATTCGGCACGTCGGGCGTCCTTGGTTTCAGGAGTCATATAACTGATGTAGTCACCTGAAAAGCGAATTCATATTAGCAAAGGCCAAGTGCAAGCTCCGACGATGGCTGTAGCGCAAGACCAAGAAGGCTCACCAACAGCGTGACTCACCATTGTACACCATGACATCAGTACGCGACTGCTTATCGAAAAAGGTTCGAGACGAGTTCTCACCAGGGCTGGTGATAAGCTCAGTGATCTCGGCGTAAGCGAGGTAGCCTGGAGTTCTAGTGCATCGGCCCGGAGTAGCGTCGGAGCTGTCTCTCGATCCTGTAAATTCACATTTCGGGCCCCAACAGCCATCCTGGGCCATATGAAAAGATCTGCCGTAACTTGCTTCTCCCACAAAAATCTTGTTATGTGAGACGCCTGCTTTTGAGACTGCTTTCGTCGTTAATCAAAGTGCATACAGCGCGGCATTCCTTCACGGATCGAACATACTCATAGCTAGAGAATTTCGCGTCTCCGTGTAGTTGACTGTCATTTGAATCAGCATGACCGTTCGATCTCGTCTGAGTCGTTATAGCACCCACCATGGCTCCGGATACATCGACCGGAAGGACATGAGTCATATGCATTGGGATTACCAGCATCCCATTGCCCATGCAGATCGTACGTCATGTAGACAATGTAGTCAACGACTACCGCAATCCTGTCGATAGGAAAAGCTTTAAGATACCAGTACGAGGCCGGTGCGGCGATGGATACAGAGACGCCAGGTTCCAATTCTTTCTTCAAGACCGTAAGGAACTTGAGATAGTTCAGGCCATCGCTTGGTCGGCCAATAGGTCGGCCATCGACTAGTATATCAGGAGCCTATGAGCTGGTAATTAATGTATGCTAGAAGCAGGCAATGATAGCAAAACTTACACCCGGGTATTCCCAATCGATGTCTATGCCATCAATGCCTTCCACTTTGGCGAATTGGGCGAGATTCCTAGCGAACTCATCCCGGTGGTCTATGATAGCTCCGCGAATAATGTTGTACGTTGCCGGTTCTGTCGAAGCCGCCCAGCCGCCAAATGAAACAATGCGCTTGACATTTCTCAGTTCCTTGAAGTCTTTCCAGTGGTCAGAGCCGTCTCGAATAGCGGGCTTCCAGTTATCGGGGTTGATGTCGGCAAACGCCCAGTGGATGTGCGTGTAGGATTCGCCGACGTTTGCATCTCGAGCGTTGAGCCGCAGACAAGGACGTTTGTGATTATATGCTTCATAGTAGCCGATTCGCATAAATTCGTTCGGGGCTGGAGAATTGTCCATCAGTTGATTGCCGCAATTCGAGACGCAGGTGTTCTGGAAATTCTTGTCTTTGCTGCCTGGCGCACCATCCTTGGGCGCATGGATGTCGCAATGGGCTGGAAATACACCGCAAAAGCCCCAATTGCTACAGCATGCCTTCAAAGGGCACGGATTCAGATCAGCTAGTGATGCTTTATTCGTCGGTCGTTGCGTGCCAGGAACCAGGGGCCCACACTGGGTACCTTGCTGTGGCGGTGGCATGGGGGGCAAGCCGTCACTGACGCACATGCTGTAGCCGATCAGCATATCCTTGCACTCAGTCCATGCCCAAGTCTTTCCTCTGTTCCACTTCTCAAGGTTGCCGATAGTCACGCCATACTGTCCGGACAATCGATCGCAAGTATCTCCATTCTGGATAAGGTGTGTTGCGCAGACGCCATCGGATCCCGCTTGCGGCACGGCGCGTTTGCGAACATGGGTAGCGTTGTTGTTGGCGACATTGCTGGTACTGTTGGCATTGATCGTATTGTTGACGCCATGAAGATCCACTACTCGCACATCTGGGAGATGACCGACGACGCTCTGCCCGTCCGGTAGTGTGCAGTTTCCATTGCTCCACCCTAATACTGCTTTCTGGACCTGAATAAGATCACCCGTGCTGTCGATAATGAGGCCGAACGCGTTTCGTGCCTGGCGTCCGCCACCGCAGAGCTCGACGACGATCTGGTCCGGCGTCCGAGCTCCGTTGGATCGCACGTGATCTGCCAGCAAGCTAAGGGCGGACTCCGCCGTTAGCTTTGCCAGGTCGTCTCCTACATGAACGCCGACAGCCAAATCCTTGTGACGCGCAAACAGGAACCTCTCGTCACAATTATCGCGCGCAGCAAAATACATCCCCATGCCCATGAGCAGCCCCACAATATCGCCAGACCGTTCCTGCCCGTCGCCGCGAGTTGTCATCTGCATGTCGTGCGAAGTTTCTATGCCATCCAGAACGCATGCCGGTGCAGACTGGAGGCTCGCTCGATAAAGATCTCCTGCCTTCTTTGGATTTTCGACAGGGACTTCTGCGATCATGGATTCATCGTCTCCGCCGCCCAACGTGCAGCTGCGGATCAGCGGTGTCGTCTGAGGATCGTCAAGTGCCGTTGAAATTGAGAATTCGAGCAGCATTGCCTCCTTACACCGCTGGATGCGCTCCATTGAAAAGTACGTGATCCAGCTGTGCGTATTTGCGTAGTCTGCACATGCTAGCGGGCAGTCGTACTGGTCGGGGTAGTAGGTATTCGGGTTGTCAATCGGCGAGGCGTCGTCTTCAGTAAGGGGTTCGCTAACCCAAGTACCGTTGGGGTGCATAGCGGATTGTACCCGTGCGCTGCCCCAGAAAAGGAGAATGAAGAGGTATCTTGCCATCGCGAGAGTGGTGCTATTCTGAAAATGACTTCACGATACACTGCTGTAAGGACGGTGCAGAAAGAACTCGACTTCCGCACCCGGTGAAGCACCACATACACTCTTGGAAACAACCGCTATGCAGATCTTGCCTACTCGTTCTATCCCAGTAGCAATGTGGCACAGCCGCGAACCGCTTGATTGCATCAATGTACGGTCGTCAGGTGTTTCGCCCCGGCAGATCGGTAAATGAATACCTCAAGGTCATGTACGCCGAGCCGGGTAAACAAGCGATTATATGAACCACACATCTCGTCAACACAAGTTCTCAGCAGTATTCTCCTTCCACAATTACGAGAATATGCCTGCACTCGAAGACATCATCTACTCACGCGAGGCGTGCATCGCTGCAGTCCGCGATTACTACCAGTTTCTTACCCGGATGTACATGGATGAAAGCGTCATTATCGAACCACCCAAAGGAGGCTGGCCCTCCGTCACTCCCGACTCCATGCGAGGTCTCAACAAGACGGACGAAGTAATTTCTCTTCTCCAACATCTTCCATACATCCGTGGGTCCGGCAGCAGCTTCGAAAATCCCCAAGCCGCCCCATGGTGTGCCTTTTCCGACTGGCAGAGGGATCTGGGACGCGTGCTTCAAGGTGGTGTTAAGGGTGAAACACTTAAGCTTTGCTCAGAAGGCGCCAGCTTTACTGATGAAGTACCGGCCCACGTCATCGGTTTAACTACTGGCGGACGAGACAATGCAGACTTTCTGCTCGACACGGAGTTGGGCGTTGTCTACTGGGTTGAATGCCCCTACGAGATCAGGCACAATTCGTCACGCGAACCAATTGAAGACGACCCGTACGACTACGCGCCAGAAAACGAGGCTCAATGGCGGGCCGAATCGGAATGCTGGGCTATCACTGACTTCTTCGGCATGCTCAAAGATCAATTTCGACAACTCTCCTTCATCCCCATTGGCCCAAAGTCAGTCATCGATATTTATGCGACTCTGGGGCCCGAGGATAACGGACTTGTAACCATGCTTCAAAAGGTCTATCGTGAGCATGGTTGGCCGGATATGACGCGCTTTCGAAAGACTGAATGTCTCGCCGCAGTACAAGCAGCCCTGCAGGAGCACTATCCCCACTTTGCTCAGTAGGAAGTGAGTCACTGCTATCAAGAGAGTTGTGTGAAGTTTTCGTATCCCTTAACTGGGACGTCGAGCTCTGTAGTAGATAGCAAGCTTCAAGCCAGGACGAATCAATCCAGACTACCAACGTTTCCCAAAGCCTTCGAGAGCAGGGACCGACCTATCACACTAGAACAACACGAGGCTTCCTTTTAGCCGAGTCGAAATGTGTGCAAGGGATGCAGTTAGTCATGGCGTAAAGCCCCTTATCGATCAATATGGCTCTTGGTCATTGATGATATAATGGAGACATATGCCACAGATTTCTGCGCTGTCACATTACTTCATAGATAACCTCACTTTGGCATATCAACCCTCAGCGACATCTTGCTTACAATGGCTCTTTCCACAGGCGCCCCTCTATTCAAAGCTGCTGTTACAGCGTCTGCAGCCCAGCTGACACTCATGCCTATCGCAGAGCCAACTATTACCCGAGATCCTTGGTACTGCGCGACGGAAAACATACCGCAATATTTCGATGTACCGAAGCCCACTGGAGCCCTTCTGGATGAGCTCCTCATCTACGGAGACAAGCTAATCGAGGACTGCACACTTACCATCTCGCCTTCGGCTACGGTTGTACCAACGTGTCCCTTTCCAGAATGGACTAGTTGGTGCGGTTTCACTACCGCTGCGCCTCGAGAAGTCCTTCCAGCCTATTCCTCCCACGGCAGCGTTGCATCTTCCTGGTGGGCTGCACATAGCTCGCGAGCCGTGGAAGTCGCTCAACGCTGCCCCAATACTTGGATCAGAGAAATGCGCGAGGTTCTTTGGGGCGAAGTCTGGCTGAATGACACCATTGCGTTTGCCGCATGCTACGCCAAGGAGCATGAAATCAACAAACCTTCGATCACCACGCAATCAAAAGCTGGCTCTCTAGAAACGACTTCTACCTCCTCGACTATTGTTCCGACCCAAGCTCAGGTCACGGCTAAGACTGCGTTGCCGAACAGTGTCATTGGCCGAGTGGAGAGTGTCAAAGTGATAGTAGTTGCAGGCGCGGGGATAGCTGCAGCCGCCGTCAATTCTGTGCTGTAAATAAAACTGGATAATATGGATATATCATCGGGAACATTTGTTTTGTGTGCGTGTTAATGTGCTCCGGACCTCAAGAGGCCAAGTCGCATTCTTTCATTTTAGCAAGATACGGGCTGTACACGACCTCGGGAGGCAAGACGCCGCACCTTTAATTGAACGCGCATACGCGCCGACTATCACACTCCAAGATCTGCAGGTCTCGGTGCGGCCCGAGAAAGAAGGCAATATAAAGCTGCAGAAAACTGCATAGCCGATTGCCGTAGGACATTGCGGCGTAGTCAGATTGATCCGGCTGTACATGACAACACTCACAAAGACGCAGGCCACGATCCTAGCATTACGATCCATGACGACCTGCACCCCTTCCAAATTTAGGCTACTGTCATTGAGATCCTATACAATATCGGGGTGTCGGTCCGTCGTCCAAGACTCTTGTTGTAATCCTGTGCAAAGCAGCCGATTAGCACAACGCGTTCATCGTCAAGCACAGTTTAAATCGTTGCAAATCCAAGAGCTGTTTCCCTCAAGATCATTAGTTTAAGTCCATATTACACGCGACGCATTGAGACCCTGATAATGCTCGCCCTCCAGTATACCCTTTACATTCTCCTTGCTTATCTTGGTGCATCCTGCATCAACGCACGCGTTCTTCGTCCAAGGGATTGCTCGTTCACCTGGCCTGCCAAGCAAGGTGACACCTGCAGATCCCTAGCGGAAGAATGGAGCATCACTGAAGCTGAATTCATCAGCTTCAACCCTGGAGCACCATGCAGCTCGCTCGTAGCTAATACTGAATACTGCGTGGAGTGGCAGGGCGATCTACCGGTTACTTCCCAACCAACGCCAACAAAAACGATACAATCATCCTCGACATCCTCTCGCTTCACATTGCTGCCACCAGTAATCACATGGGAGTTTCCCGCTAGTGAATGGCACGCTTCGACTACTACGACGAAGCCGCCTAGCGGCCCAGCGACCCCGACTCCCGTTCAATCAGGTGCATCAACGAGATGTTAGTATTGCGAAACACCGTGGAAAATGAGTGAGAAGAAAGGCTGACAAATCGCTTGACATAGGTAACAGATGGCACCTTGTGAGCTCAGGCGACATTTGCCAGAAGATAGCCGATCAGTACAGAATCACCCTCGCCGACTTGTAAGTCCACACCATCTTACCAATCAACATGTTTCAGCAGCTAAGTATGCATCTGTAGTTATAAATGGAATCCTGCTGTAGGAAACAGCTGCGCTAGTCTATGGCTAGGCTATTATGTGTGTGTGGGCTCTTCATGAGCGCAATCATGGAGCAGGGCGGAACAACTGTATTCCCCCGTCAGGAAGCGTGAGCGAGCCAATTGTCCAACTTGCCCCAGTCTATAAACTCCAGCGATGTATCGTCCATGATGTAGTCGGTAGTCATAAACTCATGCGCGCCGTCCAAATCCATGCTGTCGAAGATTGTGCCGTCCGCACCGCTTGAGAAGGTGAAGGGAATAGTGCTGTCAAATGAAGTGTCTTGCGTAGGTCCGAAAGATGCCTGAAAAGAAGCCTGAGTTGAATCTATCAACACATTCGAGTTATCGGCTATTGCCTCGCCGTCAATTCGGTATATGTCAGCCCCGGTTTGATCAGTAGATGCAGCCGCATGGCCACTATTTGCAATGCGTTTCTGGCGTCGCAACCTTGCGCTATCGCGTTGGTGTCGTAGACGTGCTATGAACCCAGGTAGCGAACGTGAATGGCCATCTTTCGAGCGCATCAGTGCGTCATGATCATCGTAGGCCTTCAAGCATAGGTTACCCACAGCTGCATGAATGGGCTTTCTCATGTCCTCGAGCATCTCCGGATTATTGTCGTACGTTTCGCCGATGAGTCGCCAGGCTCGATCAGTGTCGATCAGGTTGGGATGAGCGCGAAGAGTATCTAGCAGATGAATCAAAGCATGCCATTGCCGAAAGTAGGACGCGCTCCACGCAAAGCGCTTGATGACGGGGTTGGTCTGCAACATGATCTGTTGCTCGAGAAGCTTGAGACAAACTTCCCAGATCTTCTTGCGCTCCTCGAGAGGTGTTTTCTCCAATGTACCCCAGTTCCGTGGATGGTGTATCAGAAAGCGGGCTACATTGAGACCATACCGAGCCACAACCATTGCAACAAGATGTAAAGGCTGAGATGGGTCACAATAGCGAAGATGTTTCGTTTCGATAGTATCCTCGAGCTCTTGAATCAAGCTTTCACGGGCGTTCTTGCTCTTTGCTGAATGGTCAAGGTTCATCTGCCTGGGGTCCATTCCTTCTTGGCGCAATGCTGCAATGCGTGGCGCAGCGAACTTTCCCATTTCACATCTTGTTACAATGAAGACAACATCCGTCAGTCCGTTGGAGTCTGAGGGCAGCTCAGACATGCCAGGGTACAGCTGATCGTCGTTGAGATTGGTAGGCCATTCAGCTCGCTCAGGGCCGATGTCAGGATCTCGGTACTTCGCGAGACCACACAACTCCGCAGCTCGAGAGTCATGGGCCTTCAACTGGAACCAGATGCGTCGGCGTATCTCGGTCTCGAATGGAGATATTCCTAGATATTTACCATCGCGCTCAAGACCCATGCTTTGAGCGATGCGAACAGCGACGCCGGTAAGCGTCCAGGTCGCGCGTGGCGCATAGATCTCGCGGATGGTGATCAGATGTATTACCAAAGCTTGAAGAACAACAAGATTGGAAGTCTCCATCACTCTTGCTCTAGACAATGCCGCTTCTGTCCCCGAGATGTACTGAGAAAGTAGTTGGTCGCGCGATTTGGCGAAACGTTGCTCACACTCCTCTTGGCTCAATGACATGATAGCGGAGCCATATATAGCAAACATGAGAGCTTCGAGCGGTCGCGGTATGAGCCTAAGATTTTTGGCAGCTTTTTCAATCATAGGCCGTAGACTGGGTACATGCACCACCTTAGTCAACGGATCCACGTTACTGACGAAGATCTCCCAAAGCTGAATAAGGCGCTCGAGCGGTGGATGACGAGGCTTGCCGCTGCGATGAGAGGACCTGATAACAGCAAAACCGGAGTTGCCCGTTGTCGACTCCTCCTCGCTGATATCGCTTGAGTCTTCTAAATCGTTGTTAGGGTCGAGAGACTAAACACTCGTTAGCATCGGCGTGATGATGAGATTACCGTAACAACGTATAACATAGGTATTCCACTCACTTCTTCAACCACTCTGTCCCATAGACTGTTCTCCACAAATCGAAAAGGTGCCTGGCCACGAACAGTCGAAGTCTGAAGGCCATACGGCGACGAGTCAGACTCAAGAGACGAAGGCGTCTGCAATTGAACGACATGCTGCTCTTGTTGATCGGGCGCGCCGTGCATCAAGGGTTGCGACTGCGGCCTACTATTCGTCTCATTTGGAAGATTCCCCGGATCGATGCCCTTTTCCTGAAGGAGAGCCTCATACTGTTTCAACCGATCAGTCAGTACTTTGACTTTGACGCGCTTGTTTCTCTGTTTCGGGGGTTGCACGGGGTTGAAGATGCACTCGACGTTGCTCTTGACGCAACCAGCACATGGCCTCTGCCTGTCGCACTTGACCTTCCGTTCAGCGCATCGGATGCAGGAGAAAGTGGGTCTTTTGTGTGCGCCTGTGGATAGGCTTGTGGTTGCCATTGTGAAGGTCAACTGCGCTGAATAAAGGGAACGGCAGGTATCGCTATTGTCTCGCTACATGCCATTGGAGTAAGCACAAAATGCGAAAGAAGATGACAAGAGTTTAGGAAGTGGCGATGCGGGATGATGGCAGATGCGTGAAACCGCATCGGGAATAGTGCGCAGCTCATTACCCCCGAGCCGTTGCCCGAATGCTCGAGACCCGAAGCACCCCAACCCCGAAACCTCAGCACATGCTTCAATGCGCCCGATTTCGCGCGTTCAGCCATAATGATTGCTTTGGTCTTATCCTATATATAATGATGATCGATCTCACAACCATGGCACGATATCAAATACCGAGCGTATTCGGACAGCCCCCAAACTTCAGCTCAACTGGACAACACCATTGTCTACCATGGATATCTTGATTGTCGGCTCAGGCATCGCTGGCCCAGCACTAGCCTACTGGCTCTCCTTCAACCCCAAGCACACCATTACCATTCTAGAAAAAGCCACCTCCCTTCAGCCCCACGGCCAGAATGTCGACATCCAAGGCAGCGCGGTAACCTGCATCAAAAAGATGGGCCTAATGCCACAAGTCCAGCAATACAACACCAAAGAACTCGGCACGCGGTTCATAGATTCGCAGGGACATCCCTTCGCCCCCTTCCCCATCAAAGAAGGCGGCTCGGCAAGTCCAACCTCGGAATACGAGATCCTACGCGGCGATCTCGCCAAACTACTACACCAAGCGACAACATCTCAATCCAACGTAACATACCTCTTCAACACGACAATAGCCCAAATCCTCCAAAACGACTCTTCAAGCGTAAAAGTCCTCCTCAGCGATGGTACAACACGCACCTACGACCTCCTTATCGCAGCAGACGGCCAATGGTCCAAAACACGGAGTCTTGTCTTCCCAGTCCAAGACGTAGTCATCGAGCATAAGGGCATGTACACCGCCTTCTTCACCATACCAAGGCTCCCTTCCGATGCACCCTGGTGGGACATCTTCGTCGCAAAAGGTTCACGTACTGTTGCCACGCGTCCAGATCCTCACGGTACAACACGTGCGATGTTCACTTTCATGCCATCAACCCCCGCTCAAACACTCGCTTGGGAGAATGCGAGTAGAGCTGGGAGGAAGGTCCAGGAAAAACTTGTTCGCGAGGAGTTCGCAGATGCAGGGTGGGTTAGCAAGAGACTTCTCGATGCCATGGCTCAGGCGCCGGACTTCTACTTCCACGCTATCAATCAGGTCAAGATGAGGCGGTGGAGTCACAATCGTGTCATCTGTCTGGGTGATGCGGCGTTTTGTCCTAGTCCGTGTACGGGCATGGGGACGTCGCTTGCGGTGCTGGGCGCGTATGTTTTGGCGGGTGAGCTGAGCTGTGTCGATGACTCTGCTTCTTCTACGACGTTCGACGGTCTTACTGCTGCGCTGACACGCTATGAGGAGAGGTTCCGACCTTTTGTGGTGCAAAGTCAGGTCATGTCGCGTTTCGTACCGGGGTTTATGCATCCGGGTTCGGCTTGGAAGAGGACGGTCTTGCACGGTTTCGTGAGGCTGGTGTCAATAGTTTTGAGGTGGGAGTGGGTTGGGCCATGGCTTGGAGATACGGAGAGTAGGGATGATGGCTTCAAGCTACCTGAGTATGCGGCTTTTGAAAGGGTGGAAGAGAAAGCGTTGTGAGTGCGATGTGATTAGACATCTAGTGTACAAGTGTGGGTATCTCAGTTATTAGAACCTCTAATGTAAAACTAACTAATGGAATGGAATGGAAAAATATGGGTGATGGACCAGTACTGGAAGACGACAATGACCGACAACGCCATGCTACATATAATGTGATGCAAAGCCGCCATGTCTCTACGCACCAACCACCCTAGGCGGCTCATTGACCGGTGCCAAACTATCAGTCTTCTGCCTTACAGCAGCCCAATCGGTAAGATCGCTATCGACCCTCGTCTCGTCGGAGCCATCTGCGGAAGGACGATCCGCAACATCCAATCCACCCTTCGTATCTACAGGTCCCAAGTTGTTAGCCTCAGTGATTGGGCTAGCAAGCTCAGGATCAGACTTGTTCTTTGCGTCATCACCTAGATGTGCTGAGCCAAGCGAGTTTGTGTCGTGCTCCTTCAACGCAGCATCACCAGTCGCCTGATGTCTTGGAGGAAGCTGCAGCTCTTCTCTTTCGAGGTGTTCGCCATGCTCCAAAGTGGTGGTTGGAGCGGTGCTCATCCGGTGCATTCCTCCGCCCCTTGCGTTACCGTCAACGCTTCTTCGAGCTTTTCCAGGGTCCATCACCTTGGACTGATCTTCTGGAAGGACTTTGCCGGGCTTGTCGTTGGGCGCATGGGTGTTTGGCCTTCCTTTGGACTGCGATCGCCTGGCATCCTTCTTGGCGACCTCAGTAGACTTGCGTCCAACTCTTTGGCCTTCTTTATGATCCCCTCGACCAGTGAGAGAGCCCACAATTCCGTTCTTGTGTTGTTTCTTCTCGTCGGCGATCGTTTTTTGTAGAGCCTTCCATCGAATGACCACGTTCTCTTCCACGGATTCCTTCTTCTCGGAAGGTCGCTTGGCTCCATTTTGAGCTTCCTTGATAGCCGTAATGTGAGCTTTTGACTCCAACATCGTCAGCTCCTTCTGCCCCTCAGCAATGCGTGCACGGCGGAGGTAGTTCGTAGGCTGGTACCGCTTCATATATTCCGCATCAAGCCCCTTCATCGTATAAGCCAAAGGGCCAAGAAGAGCTGCGATGTCTTTGAGCACGAAGCCGCCAATACCGAAGCCTACGCCTCGGACTGCACCTATAACACCGTTCTGTTTCGCGCCATTGTAGGGCTGGGTAACAAGGCCCGAAACGCCATCCTTTACGCCGTAAAGAAACTCATCGCGACCGGCGCGCGTGCCTGAGTGGAAACCAGTGACTCGGGGTGGTCTGCGTACAGTTTCATCTCCATAGAGACGTGGAGCGTTGTGAAAACCTTGAGTAATAGCGAGTGTCAAGTCCATGGGGAATCGAGCAATAGCGTGACCTGTCTTTCTGAACCCAAAAGCAGCTTCGCGACCGAGCTCCTCAGCCAGCTCTTCGTCTGGTTCCGTGATCTTCGAAATCGATGATTCGTTGCGATTTGCTTGTGGCCTGGATCCGTCTTGTTCACTCTTGTTGTGCGTCGTATCTTCGGCTGCATTTGCACTGTCGGCATTTGCTTTCGCTAGTGTTGCCTTCTTGTGCTCGTGGCGTTGATGATGCTTGCGCTTCTTTTCCTTGATCTGCTCTCGCTTCCTAATACTCTTCCCCATCTCGACAGGCATACCTCCTACACCGGCAGCTGCATCAGAGAATGACGACATCAGGCTGCCCCAGACACCAGTGATTGGCTCGCCTGGGCCACCAAAGTCGTTCCACTCGTAGTGTCGTATGAGTCGCAACTCGCTCCACTTGAGCTTCTTCTTCTCTACCAGGATCTCGGCAGCGAGTGCGGACAGCTTGACCTCGGTATTCTTGATCTTCCATACTGCCGCACGGTTGTCGAGGAAATCGCAACGCATGCTGCCTGCGCCGGTAAGGGGTAATGACCTGTGGAAGGATCGCACGGCGTTGAGCGCTCCATCGCCTTCCTTCGCAATGCTGTCTGCGATCTTCTTCACGTTCTCTTTGGCTTCTTCAGTCAGACATTGCTTGATGCCCTCCGCTAGTCTTTCTGCGTTGAGTTTCTTGTAGGGTATACAATCGTGCGCTCCAGCTTTTGCCTTACTAACCATCGCACCCCAGAATGGCTGATCGCCAAAGAAGGGTACAATCATTGTCGGTATGGCGCACTTGAGGCCAATAGCGGTTGTACCAGCGCCTCCATGATGGATAACCGCACTGCACTTGGGAAACAGCCAATCGTGCGGTGTGTTCTCAAGCATGAAGACATTTTCCGGGCAATCTGCGTTGGAGCCAAAGCCACCCCAACCCTTCGAAACAAGGGCACGGCAGCCAACGGACTTAACCGCTTCGAAGATCAGACTAGTGAACTCGTCTGGGTCGTCTACAACAATTGAGCCAAACCCGATGTAGATTGGAGGAGGCCCATCATCCAGGAACTTCTTCAACTCATCCGGTGGCGTAAAGGAAGAAGCAAGATCCAGAAAGACGAAACCGGAGATGTCGATCTCTGGACCCCAATCCTTTGGCTTTGGGATGAGACCGGGTGACCACATATAGGTATAAGGTACCTTGAGCCGATATAGTTGACCTGGCGCCCATATTCTGCTTACTTCTTCAAGATGCAACACTTGGGTACGGAAGCGATTTATGAGGTCGCCGAGACCCTGCCACATCATCATCTCGACGAGCGGATACGACATGAAATTGCTGTAGGTGGCTTCGACGTTACTGGCCTTGATGTTCGCAAGTGGGTGAGGAAACTGGCTCGTAGGCGTGTAAGGGAAGCTATCGAGAGTTAGTACTGACTCGCAAGTCTGCATTTCAAGTACTTACGTGAACATCATGTGTAGCGGAACGCCGAGCTTCTCAGCAATATGAGTGGGTGCGAAACTTGGCGGATTTGAAATGATAGCGTCTGCAACGAAAGGTGCCTTATCACCCACTACTTGATATTAGTCATGTGTAACACGGATGCAACCGAGGAACTTACTCATTTTCACGTTCGTCTTATCCGTTTCGTCGTCGGTTGCGTTGATGCAGGCACGCCACATGCCCTGGAACATCTCGTACATCTGGCTCCTTCGCCTGCCTATCTCACCCTCCTTGATGGTGTCGATGTTCGGTATCAGTCCAGGATTCTTGACCATGAACGCCATCAGCTCTGCCGGGTTGCCGCCAACAGAGAAAAACTCCAAGCCGGAGTCCTTTTCCACAAAGTCCTTGAAAGCCGGGTGTGTGGCCATGCGAACGCGATGTCCGTAGTCTTCTTTCAGAATCTTGCCTATCCGGATGAAGGGCTGAATATCTCCGCGCGAACCAATGATGATGATAACAATGTTGAGCTTGATTCTTCGTGAAGGATCATGTTCCATCTCATCATCCTCAGGGCTAATCTTGGTAGCTCCGGCATCGTCGTAACTCGTAGGGCCTTGATTCTCGTCATTGCTATTCTTCTTGAAAGCTGTGCCCAGAGCCTTTGCGATGTATCCACTGCCATGGTTCTCCTCGAGTATACTAAGCTTCAGACGTCCGTCCGCCTTGGATACCCTGCCCTTTGTGTTGAAATGCTCGTTGGCGATCTTGAGACGAGAAAAGGGCCCCGATCGGCGTCCGCGAGGCTGGCGCGTTGCTTGTTTAGTGAGGTCGTCTGCATGGCCGAGGCTCTTGCGGGGGAGTTTTCTCTCATCGTCTGAGGAGTCTGAGGATTCGGATTCGGGGTCGAAGGTGATTGTTGCTGCCCTTTCGGGTGCGGCTGGTCTTGCCTCGCGGGGCTTCTGCATCCTTCCCAGCAGAGAGTGTCGCACAGAGGGCTTCGGCCGTTCCGTTGCCCATCTCTGCTGTGTGGGACGCGTCGTCGACGCGAAGTAGTCCTGATCATTCGGGGTCGACTCCGAGGTGTCTCGCGGGGCGTCGATAGGCCGGTCTGGCGATGATGCGCCTTCTGGTTGAGCCATGTCTGCGGTCGAAGTGTTCTGGACGGGCGTGGGCGTGGTGGGTTCTTGGCCAGGGATATTCGGAAAGGTCGGCTCTTCGATGACCATACCGATGGGCGAAACGAGACCCTCGCGCTTGGGACTAGGCGTAGGGTTCGCCATAGTGAGCTGTGCGAAGAGGTTTGGCGTCTTGGTGGGTCGGAAGATCTGGGTCAGTGACGGTTCCGCGTTGCCGGTAGTGACGGCGCGATGATGGTGACAGCGCAGAAAGAGCGAAGTCTAAGCCTGAAGGGACGCGCGACACCCGGCTTCACCTGCATGCGCCAACGAAGCTTTTCGTATAGTCGCCTGGATCCGGACAACGGGCGCGCGAAAAGGTGAATAAACACACGTGCGGATGGCGTGGGACGGTCGTAGCGGCCGATCAAGGCCACTCGGTGGACAGCAGCACCAGCAGGAACAGGCGGCATGACATCACGTCCAAACATTTGCAATGTGGATCTAACGGAAGGCGCCAACGCGGGAGTTAACTTGGTCGGGTTAATTCGATGGTCTTGAAATTGTGCCTGGGCGTTCTTGGGCGACTCTTTTTTGCCGAGGTCGCGCGACAGGGATCACATTCCCATGTCTTGAAACATGGCAATCTCCCCCGCCAATGTGCGTGCCGCTCGTACACCACTGGACACGAGATACTAACAAGAAACGTGGCATATTACAGACGTGGCGCCACTGCTGAGGTGATATGGATGATTCGGCATGTTTTCAAGTGCGATGCATGGAGCCAATACAGCAATAACGATCGTGACCCTATGATGCAGCCCTAGGCGTGTAGCGTCCCGACCTATCCGGGCTGCTCTGCATACTCTCCGAATGCGCTATGGTCGGCCTCTAGCAGCAGCCGGCTGTCGATCCGCAGATGCTTTTGGAAGAGTTCGAGCAAATTTAGCTAGGTCGTTGCCGCTTCTAGTGCATGATGGTGACCGCGTTGTTGTAGGGTCAGATGATGCTTGTAGCAACCGCCGCAGTAGGCCAGCGCATCAAGGTGCATTTCCCGCAGAAGAATGTGGTCATGGCAGCACGGGCAGGAAAAAGTCGAT